GATTACCTCAGATATGTTGTGGCTTGTTGAATTGAATCCATCGATGAGGGGTTTTAATCTTGGTACGACAGCAGTAGAACATAACTGATATAATCCACCCTGCAAATCATACAAATGGTAAAAAAAACATTTTTAAAGGATATGTTATTAACCAATGATGATAGATGTAAAGAGAATATTTAACCCCACGGACAAGATAGTAAAAGAAAACTTCCATACTTGAAGTAAATCCTTGAAAATATTTGATGTGTTCATCAAGTCTGAAAGACAGCTCTGAGAAGATAAGAAAAAACATAATTAGAAAATTGCAAAGTTTTTTTTTTTTTTTATTTAAAGTCCAATAAGTCATAGCAGGAATTTTGTTGATGGATAAGATTGAAACCCTTCTTTCTTCTAATAGTCCTTTCATCTAAAACAAATAAGTCAATTTTTTGTTGTTGTTTTTCTAGCTTTTGCTTATTGTTTCGTTTATTTGTTTGATATTACGAGCTACTTAAAATTAATGCGAATTTTGTCATTTGCCATCTCCGTGGTAGAGGAGACTAATGGAGTCGCTTGAAGTTTCTTAAATGAACATGTTGATGTACTCTACCCTCCCCTGTAAGTAGACAAAAAGGTAAAGTTGAAAACACTATATCAAGTTGCAGTTTTATATGCCTTATGAAGACAGTCGATTATAGTCCAAGTCAAGAATGGTAAAAAACGTGAGCACTTGCCTCTAATTTCAGTTTAGCAGCATCTCCAAAAGCCAAGTTCCTGTCACATTCAATCTGCGAGGCAAATTGTTTGGAAACACTTAAAATCAATCCATGACGCTTCAACGCAACAAGATGAAAGTAAATTGGATGTGTTGCCTGTGGCACTGGTCTCATGGTCTGTGGAATAGACCGGGTCGAGAGGTCTGGGTTCGAGACCAGGCGACCAGGGGTCAACGTGTCGTGTTCTTAGGCAAAACACACAGGAGTATAACTGTCAGGAAAGCCTGGTAACATCCCATCGAGGGGGAAGTGATAACACTCCTACTATGGAAACCGGGATAAGCTCCGGCTGGGTGGATCAACAGGCTTGAGTAGAGACTACTTTTTGTTGGCATGCCGATCGCCGGTCCTTCGTGGTCCCTCTCTCCACCCTAGCAAGTATATCAGGTTATCCTTAAATTTAAAAGAACTGTTTGTAGTAATGTGGAGTGTGAACACAAAAGGAACAGTAATAAATGCGTCATAAGCTTTTTTATCTCAGGGTAGCTCAATATAGGCCAAATTCCTGTTTCCAAGACCGAGATAAAAATGAAGTCCATAACAATCCATAAAAAACGAGGCAAACATTCCATCATCTTGACCAAACAAGCTTACATCAAAACGGGCACAACCGAGAGGGCTGTATTTGCTTGGGTAGTTAAATCACAGGATTCGCTTCATTCAGCAACTCGTCACAAAATAATATATATAAAAGTTTGGAATTTTGAATCTTGCGTCCATATCATCAGCACTATCTGATATACAATAGAGTAAATTCTAAGCTCTCGACGACGATGACAACATTCAACAGATGACCATTACCATGGTACATTTCAGTCATTATTTACCTCAAGATCTTTCTTTAGCTTCTGAATGTTGTTGCTGCTAACTTCAAGGTTGTTAAGTGTCACCTGAAATTCAGCATAAAATATTTGTTAGCGGCTTTAGTCTTAGGAGAAGGGAAGAATTCATACGTCCATTGCTCACAGCCTCACTTGGAGAAAAACACTCATTGTTAAGAAATAGCAATGTCTGTACAGAAAAGAAAGACTCATTTTTGCCTAGCACGTGGAACAAAGAAAAAACTTTAAGGCCCGCCCTGAGGAATGGAGTTTAGGTCCTTTTGATTTGGCCTTACGAAGAAGAGCTAGGCCATCGCATGCTAATGCTAAATTCATATTTGATGAGCGTCCTACATACTGCTAGAATCAGCAAATATTAATTCAAAAGAGTCTAATTCTGACATAAAATTTATTGTGATGGGGAGATAATATTACAAGACTAAAACATGATTGACAGAGGATGATTGTAGCGTTACTCTTACAAGGAAAGCCTTCCGGGCAGCTGCATTTTCAGCCGTTGTGGAGTAGCCCACTTGCAGCTTTCCTTGCAACATTCCAGATAAATCAAGACTGGAATACAAAAGAACAATTATCAGTATAAGGACATCTTAGAATACTCCTTTGTGGAACTCGAATTTCTGTAAAGCATTAAGAAAATCAATTTTGTGTTACTGCACCAACACACTTTGAATATTTAGAGTCTTAGAAAACTTGATGGTAAGAACAAATCTAAGCCATGAAAAATTCTACAACCATTACAAAATTTACACAAGGAATTTTTTGAAGATATCAAAAGCAACTCTCAACATAGTTGCATTGATTACATCAATTGGAATGTAAAAAAAGTAAAGATCACAAGTTTGTGAATTTGAGGATTTGAAAATTTTGACCTGTTTGATTTGCTTGATATAAATTACAATGATCCAACCTTAAAAATTGTAACAATAGAACAACATAAAAATAAAGAGATCACACAGTACAATTGCAACATTGCCATATCTATAACGTTATTATGCTTTCATAGAGGAACTATAAATACCTTCCAGATGGAAAACCTGCTTTTAATCGGGCAGTTAGCACATCACGGTAATCAGATGACAGAAGGGCACTAGAGAAATTACAGAAAGTTGATATGGAAATTCTTAATTGAGTCAAACAATAAGAGATAAGTCAGAAAAACGATATAATTTTAAATTTATCTCCCAGAGGTGATTAACATGTAACTTCTCCCTATAATATCCAAACATTATCTAGCAAACAGGTATTGAGAATTCTCAAATTTATCAGGTAGAAGTTGCTATCTTGATCTAACACAAAATTCCTATAACTACTTTATAGGAAAATGTAAAGTAGCAAGAAGGTAGAATTAACAATCAGATCTTAGGAGTTAAAGAATTAAAACTTGACTCAGCAAGTTGGCCTAAGACACATAACCACATGCTGCAGTTCTTGTACCACTGCTCCTCAAAAATGCCTTCTGATTCAGCTAGTAGTTATCAAAACAGATCGACAAGCAATGGAAAAGAAAAAAAAGTGACACTTTGATTCATCTTTGCCATGTGGCCAGGTTGCTGAGCATGATTTAAATGACCACGTCCATGGTCAAATTTAAAGCGCATTTGAATGAAAGTTTTGATAGATTAGGTTTCTTCTCAGGAATCTTAAGATAGTGTTGGTATCAGAAATTGGTTTCTGGAGTACTCTTTCACAATTAAGTTCATTACCATGCATGATTCAGCATTGCACACGTTCCATCCACACTAGAGCTGGATAGGGCTCGTCTGAATGAATGAAAACAATAACACAGGAAGTAGATAATCAACCTTCTGAAGAGTTAAAAGTTTCTCCTAAATTAAGTGGTCCACGAGACCAGAGCTTACCCTAACATAAAGTGACATGGAATATTGTTATAGATGTTGGCATGTTTTGCATTGCAGATTAACACAAATTTTTCAGGTATCCCTTATCAAACTTAGCCTTAGTTCTTTAATACTCAATAAAAAACAACATCAATAAATAACGAGCTGTTAAATCAATAATCAAAACAAAACACACAAGATGCTCCAAAGACATCTTAAAACTGGTCTTTCATTGTCCATAAAATTATTCATGAAAACTATTCACAGCTTGAAATCACACATTGTAAGAAGACCTTTTGGAAGTTAATATTCAGGATTATAACCAGAAACAAACCTGACAGCCTTTTGTACGATAAAGAAGACATCATCTACCATGCTGGAAGTGACAGCTTCATCATCACCACCCTCTGTGATGTCCATCTTTACAGCCTGAAAGTTACAACTTGAATTAACAAAAACACTAAACATAACACTTATAACCATCACAACTCCAAAAATATTGGACCAGGACAAACTTTTTCCCAGAAATATTACAAAACCAGTATGTCTAAATTTTTAATTTCAGAAGCAACACAAGACTAACTTTCATCACTGTTTCTCTCATAAAGTACTCTTCCATGTAGATGTAGTTTCCTATCAGCTCCTGCAAAATAAGTGAATCATTTGAAGAATTTACGAGCCAATAGGAAACTAAGTAAACAGAAAATCAGAGGTGTGATCTAGGGAAGAGAAGCTTTTCATATGTGTGGAGACATAGTAATGAAGACTCTGAAGACTCAGTTTTGAAACCCACCCTTTCATATTTTCGTAGCAACATAGAGATCTGTACTCCAAGGTGAAAACAAGCACCATGGAGATAATGGTCATAACCCAAATCTGAATAACTTGGTAAAAAAATGTGATGTATATAACAATACTAAAAAAATGTAAATTCAGGTTTCCATTAATAATTTTTTTAGTGTATTTCAAAGATGTTAGATGGAAAGATTGCTCCTGTGTTACCTGCATTCTTCTGTTTAGTTCACAATTGGCAATAACTTTGTCTTGAATTCCTAATAGTTCTTACAGAGAGAATCAAAAGCCTCTATCATGATGATAACCTTAGTAATGTAAATGCTACACTGTATATATAGAGGAATGCCACAATGAAAGAGTTCAAAATGTATTTAATATGGTATATTTTTCAGTTTTCTTAACCTCAGTACATAGTTATATAATTTTGCATGATCATTAAATTAAAAAGGAAAATACTAGACAACTGAAAGAAAAGAGAATGAATAGAAAAAGGAAAAAAGGAAAGAGGGGAAAAATCAAATAAATGCTATCAATCCCAAAATCTCATTTATTTAGTAATTCTCCTTACTGTCTGTCCTATAATTCTTATGATGCTAATTCAGAGAATTTAGTATTGGATCAACTAATTATCCCCTAGCTGGTACTTTTCTCATTTTCATCATTGTCTACTTGATATTGTATAGATGTTGTAAGGAGAAATTCTGTCCTGGTCACTCATGGGAGTTAAGGGTTATAAGCAAAGAGAGAAACAAACACATCTCCCATGATACCTGTAAATTTCTAACACAGACTACATACTTTGAACTTACAGCTAAGTTAGAGGTGACAAAAACACAATTGTGCATTGTGTAAAAATTATCTGTACTGTTACCTTCTGTTTTTTCCTCTTCAGGAACATTTACCATGTCATCCTATAATAAAAAAGGTTTTGAAGATCAAAGACAAAACATAATTTAGATTTAAAAATCATCAATCATTTCAACAATGTTATAGGAACTTTTTGCATGTGGCAAAAGTGGCAGAAAGAACTGTGAGAAATTAGAGGAGTACAAATTCTTACTGCGATCCTTTTCTCCAAGAACTGTAAATACATCTCAGCTCTTGCATTCATCACAACAACTTCACGCAAGACAACATCAAGCTCTCTGGGGTCATACCTAAGAAACACAACAAGGTTATGAACACTTTGTTCATGTTTCATTAAAACAGCTACTAAATAAAGCATTGATAATTCCACACTGTTCCCTTTTCTTATGGTGCCAACAAGAATATTTTGTTTGACAATCAGGAGCTTCTTAACTTGGTGATCATTTCCTTTATTCTCATAACCTTTGCATTTAATTTAAGGATGATGCAGTAAGGAGAAATGAGATGCTGAACACTCCTAGGAATTAAAAAATTAAACAAGCCAAAAATATTCCTTAACAATGATTTCAAATTGACTTGTTCTTTTTCTAATTATCATAATATCATAATACCATAAATTACTTAGAGCTAATCTCCATGACAAGAAATTATTTCCTAACCTTGGCAGACACAGCAGGGACATAATATATTTTTCAATATCCTTGTCAACTAGATCCATATCAGAAGTAATGGATCCTCATTTCCCTCCAATTATTGACCCAAGTAACCCAGGATGCCACTTCTAAGTCTGCTTCACCTCATGATAATTATTTCTAGTCATTAAAAAGCTGATGCAAACTTACCTATCAAGGTTACCAGAAGAACCTCTGAAGGTTTGACTGCCCTGAACAGATTTGAACTAAAGACAGGAAGAGTGAAATTCTTATGCACACAAGGCACTTCATGCAGGTTCTTCAGTCTGCATTTGTCACAATAATTATATGTACTCATTCTGTTAGATCTGCCAATGTTTCACTACAAGTGTAGATACATTGGCCTTCTGTGCTGGATACATTGTTCTTTGTCAACAAACTAGATACTATACAGATCAAGAAAAAATGTTGAAGGAGATTGAAATTTTCAAAAAAGCACAAAGAATGAGCTGCACACCATGTGATTCTAATGCAATTATAATTGTTCTTAAATCCGCCCCTCATGCAATTTTATGAGTTTGCTTGAAAACAAGTATAAAGAATTTTCATAACAGAAGCATATAACCTAGATCATCAGATTCTAGGAAAAATTTATTGAAATAAAATTCTTCCATTTTATGGGTACCTTTTCTGTGAACTGTCTCTTTTTCATAAACTGGTCAACAACTTGATTAACTTGCTTGTCACACTCAGCCTATGTGGAAGTATTCATAAAAAAAAGCGCTGCATTTAATTAACAAAATAATTTAATGGTACTGTATCACAATGATCATCATCCATAATCCTTGACAACATTCTCAGCTGAGAATACCTCTGACAAAACAGATGAAAATACAATTACTGACAAAAAAAACTCTGGGGCTTACAGTAACACCCCCCCCCCCTCCTCTCCCCTTTGCATTGCTGATAAGACTCCTGGGAGCATTCAGAAAAGCCACAGTTGGTATCAATATTGGTTGGTAAGGGGGATTGGGGGCTTGGAATCCTCTATTAGTAAATAATTTTCTACAATTTATAAAGCAGATATTGCTTACAAGCAATTGGGCATGATATTGTGTCCAAACAGCTTCTGACCAGAATTGTAAGCTGTTAGCAGATATTTCTAGCAAAAGGATTACATCAATTCAAGTCTAGTCTTACCAAAAGAGCTTTGAAAATGTCTAATGCAAACTAAATCCATAAAATTTATTTTTTAAGGGGGAAGGAAGGGGCCACATCATTCTTTGTTGGATTCAGTTTCTGAGAAATTAACATTAATAAAAAAAAAAAGAAAAGAAAATGTCTACTCCTAAGCATTTTACTGAGCTGAGGGAAAATTTTAAAGAGGCAATGATGTAAGCAGCTCTGGATAGAGAAAATAAACACTGACTACAAATTCCAGCATTGTCTTTAAAAAGTGTAAGTCCAGAAGAAATAGAAATATAAAATTAAATTGATCAAAAATCTAAATATAAGTGGACAATGAACCATGTACCTGCATAGCTTGTAGCAGAATGAACATTTTGCCAGGACCTGCCAAAAGAGATAATTAAATTGGTGAATTTACAGTGTGGCCCAGAAAGAAGGAAAATTTTGGCAACACAGTCTCTTTACTGAGTTAATGGTATATCTGGTAGGTACAACCAGCTTGTGGCTATATCATGTAAAAGCTCAAGTACACATTCCCACAAAGGAGGAGCATCTAAAAGGCTTTTAGAGGTAAATTAAATTAAAGTTGCCACAGGGCAGCCTCACCATAGTAAGTCTCTACAAATGGCTGATGTTCTTCCACCATACGTGCAATGTTCTCAAACAGTAAAGTGAGAGTATTTGCAAACACAACATTGACATGACGATCTAAAAAGAATTTAAGGAAAATATCTATTTAATTAAGCTCTTCCATGTAAGAACTAATAATGACTTTGGCCCAGCCTATGAAAATGTAAGCTACTACCAACAACAACAATCCTATTAAAGTCACAACACCCATCTGGACAGTTATCGTGCCAGAATCAATGTTACAGTCAGGCTCCAACTAAGGACTGAACACAACTGCACATCGAAAAGCTTAGAGCTATTTAAAAGTACAACAATACCATTATAACCAAGGTACAGTACTTCATAGTATAACCTATATGTAAGTTAGGATAAATAAAGAAAATGTTACATGAAAAGAAAAATCACCTTGTTATTAAAGATTATTAGAAACAACATTCTCACCTGAGTCTTTGACAGCAACAGCATTGTCCAAATTCTTCTGGCACTGGGCAGCAATCTAAAACAGGAAAAAGATTTCACATCTTTTTATTGAAAACAACTTTAGGTCAAAGTTATTTCAAACTTGCTGGTAATTTCCTATCTTTAAAGACTACAGCTATTATTCTGAAACAAAGGAGAAAACACCTCACACTAGTTTAGGGCCATTTTGATTAGTCTACATACTTAATTACTCACTGTGTATATTTTCATTTTTTTTTTAATCAAAAGTTGCATGCATCAGACATAGATCATTTCATCAATAGGGTCTACCATTAAGACAATGATGGCTAATTTCATTCTATAACATATATCAAACACATTTAGAAGCTGGTTATCCAAGAATCCTGACTCTCAAAAAACCCTAAAATCAAAAAATATTTGATTCCCCTTTGATAGACTAAGATGTAAGAGGTTGAAAAAACAGGGAGAAACTACATCTCCCTCATGTTTTTTTTTTTTGGCCTTGTTGTACTTATTTCACTTATACCAATTTTTGTTATGAGGATACCTTGCTTTTATTAACAGTAACAAAGCCAGTTCAACTGATCTGTTGTTTTGATCCACTGTAATCATATAATGACTATTCATTCTTACATGTAAGCCTAATAAGCCCATTTTTCTGAGTATCCAAGAAGTAACCATACACATGGACAAACCTGTGTGCACAAATATCTTGCATACTTTTCAAGTCCAACTTGATGTTGACCCAGTAAAGGAAAAATTTTGAAAAACCTTGAAAAAAGATTAATCATGATCAGAATACATTTTAAATTAATTTCAATATTACTAGGTGTTTAACCTGATCTCACAAAAAACACAATAATTATACAGAAATACCAATCAAAACTACCAGATACAAAGACACAAAATTTTTATCAAATTAGCAAAATAATAATCATGGCAGCAGAACAAACAAGTGTATCCAAAGCAGAAAAACATGGTGACAAACTACAATCCCATACAATATAATGCATGTCTTCTGTACCTTTCTACAGAGCCCCTGTCACCATTTTGTATAGCAGCCTCAAACTTGTCATTTACAATTCTTTTCAGTTTTGTCTCTGCTTCATGTAGTAACACAAAGGCCCCTGCTAAGTCAGAACCTACAGGAAAATAAAATCACGAGCAAGTTATCAGCTATTGCTGCACAAAGATACCTGATGGAGGGCTGCAGGCTCAGTTAGGTTGTGTGAGAAGCATATACAGTAGGTTAATGTTTATTAATAGAAATGTCCTAACTATTGCTGTCATTTTCAAAACAAAATCTTAACTATTGAATTTTAAATACTAATCTACTTAACATATTGGACCTAACAGAAAATATTTGGCATGAGGTCAAGATATATGGACTAAGCAAGCAAGGTCCACATGTCATGACAGAGGGTCAAAAAAAGTTTCCAGTCCAGACCAACCTGACTCTGTCAGTCACTGAGGCTTGACTAGATCACCGCATTGTGTTCTCAGGCAAGACACAAAACTCTACAACACAAACCTCTACTTTTACAGTTACTGTAGTTTATTGATTCCAGCAAATTAAACAGCCAGGCAAACCTGAGAGATCCTCTATCATCCCCTTTAGGGGAAATGATACTGTTGCTGCTTATTTCATAATTGATATGAACTCTTAAAAAGTTCCAGCAGTAACAATAAAAGTGCAGCAATTATGGTACTACTTTCACCTTCTTTTGAGTCCTCTGCTAAGTCTCTGAGGACTTGTTCATCCAGGTTGAGATATCTGTGAATATGTGCTGCAGCCTGAAGAAACAAATCATTACACATTACACTGACCGCCAACAAAAATAGTTTAAGTCAGTATCATTGTAATGATAGTAATAATTTCTGATTTAGCATAAATTATTCTAAATATTTAAGTCACTTAATAACATCCTGATATTTACAATAGCAAGAACAATCTGTAGTAGTTATTGTAGTGTGCCATTTCTTACTTCCAGAGAAAGGTTTATTTAACATCGGTATCATAAGCCACTCTGGATGATAACACAGCTTAGTTGGATTTTAATTAGAGGTTTTTGCTTGCATAAACTAAATTCAAGCAGCCAAGACAAGAGATGCCTTACCTGCTCAAAGTGCTCTGTATTTAGCGCTGTTTGCACACCATCCACACAAGCCTACAAAGAGGAAAAAAGAAGATTTTAAAATAGTGAAACCTCTGGTATTGATCACTTTAGGGACAACTAAGCCCCTCATAACCATTGGATCAAAACAGAAACATAATTAGTCCAAGTTTTATACTCAAATATTGACTGTGGTTTAGAACACTTAAAAAGTGCAATATAGTATGGTTCATCCTTCACCTTTAAATCAAGGATGTCATCCACACGTTTTATTGTTTCTTGGACACGGTTCTGAAGAAAAACAGAAGAAACACATAACATCTTAATAAACCAGAAAAGCAGCAATGTATGTCATCAACAACTAATATACATTATAACCCATTCAAATGTATAAATAAAATTTTTGTTTACCAATTACACTGATAAGTTATAACCAACCTTAACAAGATCCAGAAGTCGCACTTTACTGCTGACTTTTTCTGCCAAATCTGATGTATTGGAAATCATGGTATGTAAATGTTGGGCATCTCTCATTACCAACTGCAGGTTTGGACTAAAAATACATGACATACCACAAGGCATTAATTTCAATCAATAGTAGCTGTATTGTGCAGCCATCTGAAGGGTTAAGTCAGGCATATATAATTAAAAATAATTTTGCATAATTTCTGCAATAATCATGAAAATTACAATTCCCTTGATTGTGGTTGGTTTAAAAAAATCCTATTTTCCACTAATTCACATGCCAAGTTGTTAGCGAACAGTTTTTATCTGACAGTTTGTTATCAGACAGTTCAATGAGCCAATCACATTCAGAGTTATGGTTTAAATCAACATTTAATCAACATTAAACAATTTATGCCTCTTTTGTCAAGTCTTTTAATGCAAATTTTCCCTTTCTCTCAGAACTTGGCTATTCTTTTTTTTTTGGAAATTGTATTTATCATTAATTAATTGATTCAGACTTTGTGTAATCCAATTCAGTCTGTAATCATACTTGTGATAAACAAATTGAACTCCTGCTGTGCAGTCACTTGATTTTGTTCTCACTCATATGATTACAGACCAAATTGGACTCCACTCAGTCCTATTACCATTATCAACAAAATAGCCCAATTTCAGATGCAAACCTCTGAATATTCAACAACTGGTATATGGAGATAGGAATACACATGATGACAACCCTACCTTGATAAGCAATCGCAGCTTTGTTATAATTATGGTTTGCACTACAAATATAGATGAAGCATTGGAACAAAAAAAGGAGTCATGGATAGGCTGAATTAAAAAAGACCAGATCAGCATGTGATTGAGTAACCTTGAAAACAGTGGTCTAAATTTTTTCAAGTTAATCTTGATTTTAAATTTTTTTTTGGAATATTAGATGCTTTATAAATCATACTGTAATGCAGAAAATTAACCCTTTACACCCTAAGAGTGACCAACATCTAATTTCTTCTCACAACATCACCCCTGAATCAAACATTAAGGTCAAGAGAATAAAGAAAATGATCACCAACTAAAGAATCCCTTGATTGTTAAACAAATTCTCCTTGTCAGCCCCTTGAGAAATGTATGGAGAAGAGTATGGAGAATATGAATACTGATGTTAGAGTGTAAAGGGTTAATACCATTCATCACTCACATTACATTCTGTAGCGTGTTAAGTTTTGTGTCAAGTCTTGGTTGGTTTTCCAGTATAGCATCCAGTTCATTGTTAAGTTTTTGCTAGTAATAAGAAACAGCAAAGCAAGTTAAGGTTTAAATTCCTCAATACAAATTTGGAAAGATGAAGTATTTTCTAAGTTCACTTATAACCTACATACAAAATATTAAAGGAGGCCTGGGATTGAATTATTGACCACTTTACTGATAATATTAAACCAGTTGGTTTACAGTCAATTCACCTCCGTCAAACTCACCACAACTGAGAGTCAGATCTCTACCCAGTGCAATTTGACTGAGGCATTTTGTCTAGCCTCTCGTATGACACTTCCAAGTCTCTTTCCCTTTTTGCAATATACCACTACACCTTAGCTTTCATTTGAAGTAAGTTTCATTCAACAGGCGACAGATAACAACTGAGTCAAATCGCCATCAATGGCGATTTGACTCTCAGTGTTGGCAAGTTTGGTGGTGGCGAGTTTGTTGTCGTGGTGATCGGATGTCAACTGGTTTATTCACCTTTAACTGTTTGAGGTTAAACCATCATGTTAAATATTTAAATTAAGCATTATAACAATTTGCTCAGTTCCCTTCCTTTTATGCTTTGAATACTGTGGAGGATAACTAACTACCACTGTTGCTGCTTGGCATCATGGTTCAATTTTCCATATAGTCGATAGGTCATTGAACTGCACTGAGCTAACATAAACTTACAGATTTTTCCATGCTGTTTTTACGGTGATTAGTACAGCAAGCAAGCTGTACATTTGGAAATATCTAATTTTACTCAATTTGGACCCACACCAAGGACCCTCAATGGGTTCACCTAACGTATAAACACATTACAGTCGACTGCCGAATCAAAGTGACACGTTGGCGACGGTTGCAAATTGAAAACATGGGAATTTTTCGAGTAAAGTCGCGACTCAATTGCGATATAAATCTTAAAAATTGTGTGTATAATTTGAACTGTACCTCATGGAGATGGATTTGTGCGTAAGCTTTTTGTATTTCAGCAATATCTGTTAAACTGTAAACATCCAATTCGTGCGCAGCCATCTTAGAAATTGTCAGCGCCAGCGATGGCAGCGGATGTAACCGACGCTCAGAGAGGTTGAATAAGACTCGTGAGGTATCCTCAGCAATCCAACATGGCGGCTGATCGTAACGAAGATAGCAAAGTAAAAGATGGTTCGGCAGTTTCTGAGAAGGTGCTATTTGTACGAAATCTACCCTTTTCTACGAAGGACCAAGATCTCGAAAATATATTCAGTGACGTTGGACCTATCAAACGTAGTTTTGTGATTCGAGACAAAGGTAAGATTAAGCTTCTCGCAGACTCGCACGTGGCATGGTCGTATACATATCTACCGTTTGAATATAAGCTTAGCTTCACTCGAATAATCAACCAACGTGTTCTATTTCAGATGTCAAGAACTCCTGTAGAGGATTTGGTTACGTTACATTTGCGCTCGCCGAAGATGCACAAAGGGCTATAGATGTTGTGAAATCATTTGGAGGACGACAACTCAGTGTTTGCTTTGCAAATAAAAAACCCAAACATGAAAAGAGAAAAAGAGAACGGGAATTGCATCCTGAGGTTGACAATGATGACAGTCAAAGTGAGTTACGGTCATAAACGTAAAGCAAACATATATTGCGGTTAAATAAAGGGGGCAAGTGTAGTGCTGCACCGGGGAGGGGTGGGTGGTGGGTGTCACATGATAATTTGGTTTCATTTGAGGATTTGATAATGTACCAATATATTTGCTATGACAAATAGTTTCTGAAGTTGACTTTCTGAGCACTAGCCCTTCTTGATAACAAATTGACAAAGGACTAGCACTCTCAAAGTCACCTTTAGCAACTCTTTACAGTGGCCAATTCACATTATCAGCTCAGTTGATAAAGCCAAATTTTCATATATTGCAGTTGGTTTTAATTTTTTTTGCAATGCTGTTTCAAAATTAACCTCCAACACCTTAACATCAGTAAGTATATTCTCCATACTGTTCTCTTTGTTTGCTGAGATGCTGATCACAAGAGAATTTGTTTAACTATCAAGAGCATCTTAAATTGTTGATGATTTCTTTCTTGATCTTGATATGTGATTTGGGCATGATATTTTAAGGAGAAATTAGAGGTTAGTCACTCTTAGGGCCAAAAGGTTAACATGTTTTTGGTTGTGTTACATTTAGAGAAAATTGAAGATGAGGGACTCCAAACAATGGCCTTGGATGAAAACGAAAATGAAACTCCACCCCAAAAAAAGTTGAAGAGCATTGATCAAGGAGAAAGCATAATTAAATCCCAGCGCAAAGAACCAAAAAATGATATGGGTAGAACAATTAAACTGACAAAACTTGCTGAAGGCCTTAATCAGAACCATATTAGAAAAAAATTTCGTAAGATTGGGCCTGTAGAAAAGGTTACATTCCCAGCAGAGGGACAGGATACATCAACTGCATTTGTCGTTTATCAGACCCATAAAGATGCCAGAGAAGCTGTAAGGAAACTCAGTGGGAAGATTTTCAAAGGCAATACTATTGGAGTTTCACTTCTCTCTAAAGAAGGGAAGACACCTAGTAAGAGGTCTTTAAAAAAATCCAAGCTCATTGTAAGAAATTTATCATTCAAGTGCAATGAAGAAGACCTCAGAAAGTTTTTCACGCAGTTTGGCCAGATCTCTGATGTTCACATTCCAACCAAAATGGATGGAAAACGAAAGCGTCGGCTTGGTTTTGGGTTTGTACAGTTTTGTAATGTTTTTGAGGCTGCAAAGGCCATCAAAGAGACAAACATGAAGGAGATTGCTGGAAGACCTGTTGCTGTTGACTGGGCCCTGGCCAAATCTGACTATAAGGAGAAGAAAGGCATGGAAGGTCTGTAGATGTTCCTTTTTTGTTTTATGTGTATTTATTGGTGTGCATTTGCTATTAGGTAGATGTATAGATGTTTTAGTTGTGTTTCCTTGGTTTAAATTTTCTGTCCATTTTCCAGTTTCCCTGTTACAGTCATGTTGTGAGTTCCATTGTAATTGTGCACCATGCTGCAGCAGAGGTGTTTACCAAGGAGATGGTATCGAAAAAAATAATAGACGGTTTTTGAAGTACTATGAATTAATTTTCTGGTAGTATTAGCTTTCACAAAGCCCCAAAAAATAAGGCAGAGTGAGATGAAAGTAAGTGTCTTACAAACAAGCCTGTAGTTCCCAAGGAAATTTTGAATTAACCCTTTACTCCCAAGATCTGATTGTTAATTCTCCTCTCTAGCTGCTACATATTTCGTTGTAAATTAGTTATGAGAATTTGGTGTTAGATCTAAATGACAACTTCAGCCAGATAAGTTTGAGTATTCTCATTACCTGTTTGATGGATAATGTATGGATATTTTAGGGGAAAGTTACATATTGATCACCTCTGGGAGTTAAAGAGTCAATGCATCTTTGATCACCTTTAGAGCTCAAAATTAACCTAGGATGTCAAAGTTTGACGTTTATTTATCTTTGGTTTGTTTTCTACTTTCCAATTTTTGTTCGGTTATTTATTATTATAGCAAGATGATATGTTGTTCTTTCCTTTGCTTTTAACGTAATTTTGTACGTCAAAGAAAAAGGCTCAAAATTTATTCAGTTCCCTAAAATATGCAGCAGTTTTTGACAGTTTCAGGCCATTGATTTTTTTTTCCTATTTCCATGAAATAGAAACACAGGCTGAAAAGACGAGAGTCACAGATGAGAACACAGATGATAACCAAGATGAAGACATCAGTGTTGATGTTTCTAACGATGACTCCGATGTTGAATCAGACGAAGAAAAATCTGGCAGCTCTGATACTGGAGACGATGAAGAGGAGGAGGAAAATGAAGTCAGCGATCAAGAACACGAACAGGAGGAAGAAGCCTCGAAAGCCAAGAAAACTAAGCAACCCTCAGATGTCAAAGAAGGCAAGACTTTATTCATCCGGAACATATCGTTTGACACTAGCGAGGAATCACTTTACGAATTGTTTGAACAATTTGGAGAGGTAGACTATTGTAAGATGGTTGAGGACAAAAGGACCGGTCACAGCCGTGGAATGGCGT